TACAAAAGCCTGTACAAGATAGGGGCAGCAGCCCCTCCAGATAGGGTCTTCGTCAGCACATGCCGCCAGCTCCTGCAAGGTTCCCCAGATGACGCAGTCGACTCCACCGCCACGGGCTACTTCTTGGACGAGTACCGTGGCAAAGTCTGCAGCGTCCTCGCCGACATGCTTACGCCGCGAAACATACCGTTCATCGCATGGACGCTGCTTGCGCAGGGGTGCGTCAGCCTGCTCGTCGCTGTCCTCTCCCTCTTGCTACTCCTCAAGTCTGCAGGGCCAAAGGCCGTCCCTGGTGGCCGCCGCCTTGCGTCGTCCGGGTGGTGCGGCGCGGCGAACGTTGACGGCCTTCTGACGCTCGCCACAGAGCGAACTGCCGACCGCTTCGCCGGCTCCGCCAAGGAGCTCGTTACCGGACAACCCGAGGCGGGCTGTCTCGGGCCGCTCGCTACATGTTTTGAGCTCTTATCTTATCACACACACTCACACACGATGGAATAGGAGGCAGCTACAGGGCTTTACGGGATCATCGGCTACTCGGAGCACTTCCTACACGATCGGATGCGAGAGGGCACCGCCGCGATAGTCCAGGAGGCCGAGGCGCTCGGGGACCCGGTGGTGCTCGAGAACTTGCGCTACATCCTCAACGCGCCGGCAGGGTCGAGCGACCTCGCCTTCCAGAACGGATGGCTGCGCGACCGCGCGCCCGATGGTTCACCCCTCGAGGCACGCGAGGGCATGGTACTCGCCGACTTTGTGGCGCTGCCTGTGGCGCGCAGAGCGAGGCTGGAGGAGGCGCACGTGGTCGCGTTGCGTCTGTACTCGACCGCCGCCTTCCGCGCGCTCAACGGACCGATGCGCCAGCTCAAGATGAGTAACTACCGCAAAGGAGAGGACGGACGCCCTCTCCCCCTCGAGCCTCCCCAGCTGGCGGCGCCGCACCCGCAGCCGGTGACCCCTCGCTGACTACAGCAGCTGGCTCTGAGTCGGCTCTCGTGCCACCTCGCACATCACACCATTGACGGCGGAATAGGCGACGATGGCGTTTATCTACGAGGCGCTCAAGCGGATGCGCGCCCTCGCAGCAGCGACGACGGTCGATCTCGGTAGCAAGGAGCTGGAGGAGCTGGCGGAGAGTCTCCGCTCTCAGAGCGGCGACCTCGATCTCGGCACGCTGCAGCGGGCGCGGGAGGACCGCCTTGTGGAGGAGTCGGCTGACCTGGAGTCCGCGACGCCGAGCGGTGGCGCTGGTGGTGGGTGGCGGTCGATTGCGCTGCCAGCGGCCGGCCGCGTGTTTGCCCGCTCTGCGGAA